AATATTATTTTTAAAAGATAAATATTTATATAAATATTGAAATAGATTTTATGTATAAATAATTTTATTCTTTATATTTTATACGATATATCCCGTTTTACATATCTAAAAAGAATCCATTATTTTGGAAAATCAACTTATCAAAAATATATAAAAATTTATTAGAATAAACGTATTATTCGATTTAGCAATTAATATCTTTTTGATAGATGTTTTCCCTTATCAAAAATTTAATGTTACGAATCTTTAATTTGCAACATCGAATATTTCAACAATCGTGTGCTTAATTAAAATTCTATTATTATAATGTTTATTTGAACGTTAGAAAGAAACAAATTTTATTATACATATATTTGAATAATGATTTTTATTTGTGTGTAACATGCATATTTTTATCATATTCATTAAGAATATTTCCTTCGAAAAAAAAATCACTTTTAAAATATTTAAAAAATTCCTACGTAAAGATATTTTTTTATATTATCCATAAACTTGTGTAATGGGTGACGATCATCGTTAATATTTTGAAACTCTCATCGAAAGTATTTTCTGTCACTTTTTACGAGTGATCCTCGATATACGGTACCGTTGTAAAAGCGAGGATTAGAAGCTAACTAACTTGTATCTGCTCCGCCGCCGTTTTCAAGTTTTACGATTATGACTGTCTTCCATGTTGCCACATGGCTCACCGGTAGTTCCGGTCGAGAAATTACTCGCTGTAGTTCGGCACCCTGCTTCTTCTTTCTTCCACCGTCTTACTTCCTCTTGAGAGAGATATCTCAACCCTTCTCGTAGACGCTGAAAATAGCGTCTACGATCCTCCTGTACAAACTTGCACGGAATACTCTATTCCATTCCTAGACTTTACATAAATTTTCTTTTGCTGGAAAAATCGATTGAGTTGAGAAGAAATCATTTTTGTATAGATAATTATCTCTTTATTATTTTTCATTTCTCGTGTATTATTATTATTATTATTTAATTAAAATAGTAAATTGAAGCAATAAACAACAGAGAATTTAGATAGGATTCTGGGAATATTCAAGGATATATAATAAAGGAACAGCAGCTAATTTCGAAATACAAATAAACGTCAGGATTTTATTTCTTTATATCTTAATAGCACTATAATTTTGTTTGTCGCTCCGTCGAAATCCTCACAATTATGTAGACCTACGCAATTGTGAGATAAGAAATCACTCTTTGCTCGTAATTTTCGATGATCTAGCTTTTGTCACGATGCTGCCTATATTTTTCGCGATACGCTGCGCGATTGACGCCCGAGCCTCGGCGACGGTATCCAGGGTAGCCGACGTCCTAAACGCTGCGCGAATATCAGCGGTAACAGACGATCGTCTTCCTCGATCTCATTCCTATCGGTCGCATCACCGTAAGAGAATAGTTCCTCGTCCGATCCTCGTCCCAGGCGCGGTGTAAATTGCGTCGGTTGTCTCTTTTCATTAGCTAGAATTTATTCTTGATAGTCATAATTGTGAGAAAAAGGATTGAAAAGTGTGATAGAATGACATAGAATTTTGAATTCTGTAGATCGACGAATTAATATAATTCGATAAAATGTCGAAAATAAAGAAATCATTTTTTTAGAAAGTATTAAAATAACTTGATTTTTTAAACAAAATTACATACATATATGGAATTTCAGAACTAAAAATTCAAAGTATAATTTACAAGAAAAAAATTAGTGAAAAACAAGTTATTACATATGAGAAAATTTTGACGAAATTTATTGAATCTATTAATATTATGCAATCTGAAAATTTTGTTTGCAAAATTATGGACTTAATGAATTCAACTATTATGTTTCTTGTAAAATAGAAAAATTTTTGGAATCTCGGAGATAATATAAAAATAATGCTTAGATCCGTTAATAACGATTATTAATAACGATTACAAAACAATGAATAAATTTGGCGAGAGCTCATTCGGTCTCGTTTCGAGAGAGAATGTCGATACTCACCTGGAATCGTGATGACGGTCCAGCGCACCCCCGGTTGGTCCAGGGCATTCACTAGCATTTCGATCTCGGGATTGATCTGCTGCTTTTCGTCAGACCTGCGTCGTTTTCCCAATCGCGGACCGAACCACATGCCGCTCGTGATTTCCTGCGCGGTGGTGCGCTTCGTACACTTTCCCTCGATGCACGAGCCGAAGTCGTTGCTCGGCGATCTGTTATCGTTCGACCCTCCGTTCGGCGTCTCTCTCAATTCTACGAGCGCGATATCGCGACGATCAGCAAGATAGTCGAGAGACAATCGCGTGCAATCGGTTTAATTATTGTAAGGGGATCGGTATTACCGTATTCGCCGGAAGCGCGAAACGCCAAGCAGAGCAGCAACGCCAGGGCGCAGACGGTGTTCCCGGTGACGATCATCTCGGATCAATCGGCGTTCCACGAGACTATCTGGCCGAGTAATGTCGAGACAACCGGTAGTCCGTCGGGTTTTATAGGGATGGTAGACGATAGGGACGCTGGCGTTGTTTTTCCATCTCATTGTCTCTCGCTTCTTTTTCGCACCCCCGAGGCCAATCACGATCGCCGGCGAGAAGCGATTCGTCTCCATTTGAAGCGGGACTGACTGTCCTACATACGCAATGAAGTTCCTGGATGCAGAACACGCGACGCGCGTCCTAGAATAACGCACCCACGCTCACAGGGAGTGATTCCTATCCTCGTCTTCGGTGGAAAATTACTGGCGGTTTTCATTAATTTCCTTCAATGAATGGAGACGTGATATCCAAAATAGAAGCTTCTTTCTACGAAAATAAACGGGTTATTCTAACTTACGAATCAATTTAATTATTATACAAAATAATTGTATTTTTTTTTTAATTTGTCCCTCTCTCTATCGTTACGTGGAATGAATTTTGTTAAATATTTGATTAATACAACAGAAAAGAGCTAGATTAATTTTTCGTATATATTTTTCAATTATATAAATATATATATATATATATATATTTTTATAAAAATATTTATATAGTATCTAGTATATTTTTTATTTCATTAAATTATATAAAAACTTGTATATTTCCATTTCTATTATATATATACATGAATTGTTTTAAGACATTATAGCTTCTAATGAAGATAGCTTCCGTAGTTTACACTATATGCAATCTTATTGCATTATTTCATAAATTTGAAAACTTTAGAAATAATAGTTTACAATATAAATTATCGCATATACTTCTTGTATATAGATTGCATAATTGTGTATCTAAAATTTGTATATTTTGAAAAACTATATAGTGTGGTCACATATGTGTATTTTATCTTATCTGATCAAAATAATTTTATTTGAAGATAAACTTAGAAATTTATTATAGTTTACGCAATAATTGAAATATCTTGCCCATTTATTTCACAGATTTACGATAATGAATCGATTGTAAGCACCATACTTTCTTTTAACAAATCCTGTTTTTCTCGCGTGTATTTTTTATACCCCACGCTGCGTAATAAATGATTGCGGCCGCCTGGCGTTCGATTGAATGAACGATTAGTCTTGGATTTAACTTGTCGATCGCCGGCTTAATTCAGGGATCAATGAGTTCACATTCTTCACATTACTGTACGACCGCGTCGTGCCTTCGGATAGGGGATATTAAAATCCACGCAAGTGCGGAGACATCTACATATTCATTAATATATTATTAACTTTAATGAATTATTTACATAGCTTGTGCTTGTTATTAAAAAAACGCGTGCGAATAAAAAAGTGAAATTCGAAAAGCTTGACTTAATTATGTGTCATCTTATGTATATGAATTAACCTTTAATTCTTTATAATCCAAATGTGTTGATTTCATCACTATATTTTTAAAATTTTTATTAGTGAGATTATTATCATCACTATCAATTATTTATTTCTTTGTTTCTAGTTAACTATATTATAGTAAATACAATGTGTAAAAATTTTATATTAAAATAATTTTAATTGAATAATTGAAGTAAATTACGTAAAAGTTTATCTAGTTTAAAAATTATTAAATAATACAATTTATTAATTTACGCAAGATTATCAAAGCGAAACAGATATTTATAATTATAATTGTAATATGAGATGTCTCTTAATTCTTTAAGTTTATTCGTATTTTTGAGATACTGAAATCTTTATTCATATTATGATATACCCAGATAATATGGATATATTTTTCATTTATTTATTATAAATATTATATTTTATAATAATTGCCAAGATATGACAAAATATATATGACAGAATCAACCTTGTCTTCATAAATTATTAAATCAGATGCAAATTAATCGAGGACTTACATCCGCTGCTATTGTATACGTGTTTTTTGAGACACACTAATATACACACACATACGTATGTATAATGAGTACATCTTATTTGAGGCGCGCAATTAGGGGGCGGCTTCACATATGGATGTCGTGGTTTTTCATTGAAATTTAAGTGGGCGAATCGCGCATTCATTCTGTACGCAGACTACGTACGCTTCGCTATACTTTCGATACTTGTCAAAGCAAACAAACGTCCGCTTCATACTTTTTTATCTCGATGCGTATTTGGTAGACACACGACGTAAAAGCACTTGCATCTGTCGAACCGAATACGCGCCACGGAAATCTTCCCACGTGGCGACATTTTTCGACTCGATTCCTTCGTTCATATCGCAAGACTTATCCGCCGTTTCGGAAGTGATAATTCAATCCAATCGTATCAATAGATTAGCATTATTCAGCGAATAAATATACAATAGTGATTCGATATGATATATCGATTTTTTAAATATATTTTTGATATTGAACTGAGATTTAATTGAAAAATGTTAGAAAACAAATCAAAATAAATGGCATTGCCGGAGTTATTACTATTGGGATCTATTGGAAAATATTAATTGTCAATTGTTTTCATAATAAAATGGGATTTTGAACAGATTGCCATGGATGATCATGAGGGACGATAAGTTGATTTGATCGTAACGTACGCAAAAGTGAGATAAATCTTCACGTGATGTATCACTCTAGGGATGCTTCGCATCTGGTAATCTAATTACTGCGCATTTTGTGGTGGTTTGCAGTGACCATTGTTTTGGTATTATCTGTTCGTGCGAACCATTACTTCGAATTAACGATCCATCAATCGCATGCACAAGCGTCTGCTTAGAATTTTCTCGATTGACAAAGATTAATGCTCTTGTCAAATTTCAGAAGAAATTTCAGAGATTTCTATTTTAATATATTTTTCAATTGTTTTGTAATAATTATTAATTAATTTTACGATTGCACGTGAAGAATAACGTTTCAAAATCATCATCGTTTAGACTAATATCTCGCAATTATTTTGAACAGAGAGACTTACTTTTCTATATAAATCAATTAAAATATTAAATATAAGCACCCCACCCCGCTCCCCTTTATCCATTCTTTCTACGGTGGCTCAAGACGCTATTTATTGTATCTTTTTGCAAGTGAAAAAAAAAATCGAAAATAGGCACGCGCTATGCCGGATAGGTGCGAAAGAGAGCGGAGAAGGTAAATCGGCATCGCTTTGTAAACTCTTGCCTTGACGAAGGCCAGAACACCTCCCGCGGCCGATGGTGCACGATATAAACACTCCCGCGGTACCGCAAGAACTTGGCTATTCTCGGTAGCCGGGAGAGGAGAGATTGTTCCCTCGCACGTGAAAACGAATCCGATCTAAAATGTCCGTTGCATCGCGACGAAAATCGCAACTTATTATATTAATTCGCGCAAGATTTGCCTCTAAAAATTTTAATAGTTACAAAGCATCTTTGGTAATAATCCATTTTACAGTCTTAATCTTTGGAGCGGATTTTTACATCATTTATATATCAAAATACATGGATAGTTTTGAAATTATAAATACATGTCAAAAGTTATTAGTGAAAGAAAGTTGGCTTTTAGCCAATAAAACTTTTGGCCATTAAGTATTTTAATTAAATAGCGAAATTGTATTTTATGTTTGCTGCTTTTATTTCAAACGGATTATACTTTGTTGATATTTTAATCCGAGAGAGATACGGATATTATATAAATATTATATAAATATTTAGCGACAAGTTTGCGTTCGTATGCTATCATGAAGTCGTGCAGTAATTTAGCAGTAACACTTATTGTTAGAAACAATTCCGACTGTGAAATCGAGCATAGGATTTACGGAGGATTGTTTTGTAATAAAATGCTTGACACAGGATATCGAGACGTTAGAGAGCGAAGGGTTAATGATCTGAACGGAGCGCGACGATCTTTGTTTTATTCTCTCAGCTTAAAACGCTGTTTCAAGAATTTATTCCGGAATATAATTTATTCGGAAATTTTTCGAGAAGCGATATTTTATTATGTTAATTAAAATAAAATTACAGTTTGATCCAATGCATACAATGTACGATCGTGATAATATATTAGAGCGTATACGCTGCCGATGATCATTCGACTTGATGCTTAGAGTGTATATGTGTATCACGATTTAATAACTGTACGTAGAAAGAGTTGTAGGCTCGAATAACAAAATATGAGGTCTCGTCAGCGTCAGAGGAGCCGGTTGAAATATTTACGTCGAGGCAACAGCGAGGCTCTACTATTAACATTCTCGAAGTCTCACGGACGTGCACGCTCGCGCGTAATATAGTGCCACTCGTTGCGATAAACAAACGGCTCGTCAATCGCCTCGGTAATATCGATCCTGGACTTTGCGATCATTCGCGTACAATACACAAAACCGACAATGTCGTCTTCGGTTGATCCGTCAATCGTTGTTTGGGTGCGATGGACATTGATGCCGACGCCATCGAAGACAATCGCAAATATTTAGTCTCGCGTGAATCGAAGTTCCTGGTAGCAAAAGTAAAAATTGTAATTATGTTAATTAAATAATTTTTTATATAAAGATTGATTGACCGCGAATATTCAGTCTAGCGACAAAAATTTTGATAACAAAATTCAAATTTTATTACATTAATTAATCAATCGAATCGATTGAATGATGATTACAATTATTTAAGTTGATATTATCGCATGGGATTGATTACTTTCCTTCGCAAAGAAAGATTTTCATGATTAATTGATGTTTGAAAAGCTGTTGGTTTTAATGTTGATAAAGAAATCACATAATTTGTGAATAATTTTCCTAAAAATCAAATAATTCTAAAGTTATTTTTAATATAAAATATCGCGCGAAGTAAGGATGGTAATAAATTCGAAGATTGGCGGAAATGAGCGAGAGAGATGGATGTTGATTAATTAGATTTTAAGATTATTCACCAAAATGCAAGAGAGTTTTTTCCTCATATATTGCCTACATGTAGAGTATTAGACACGCTACATGGGATCAAGTACTGGCGCCAGGGTATCCACGAAATCCGAAACCAACCGCTCTACACAATGAGTTCTCCGTCTATAATAAGTCAGCTAAGTAGATGGAAAAGATAGAGAAAGAGAATTTCTCACGGCTTTCTCTTTCGAATAAAATTATATATATATATATATATATATGTAAACTAGAGAAATATACAAAACGATATATAAAAATGGCTCTACGAATAACTTTAATTAAATTGAGAAGAAAAGTATTTGTGCAATAGAGAAGGGATATATTACAAATATTAATATTGCGAGTAATAAAATACTTAATTTTCTCTTAAGATAATACGACACAAAGAATATAAAAATGTGAAAAATATTTTTTTGGCATTTATATTATTACTCCCGACTGCTGCCAACCGCAGGTTATTAATCTGAATTTCTCTTCTTCATTATACATAATATAAAAGAGTATAACTTATATTAAAAATATAATGACACAATGTATGAAATATAAAAATATTATGCAGAAAGTGATTATATATTTGTATCAACATTCCATTCATTTTTTTAATTAGTAATTTCTATTTAACATAATTATTTATCTCAATATGCAATTAAGTAAGATTTAATGTTTTGTTTTTTAGGCATAAAAAAATTCAAAATATAAGAAAAATGTAGATTCTTAAAATAATTTGTAAAAAGGATTTAAAAAAAATAAGGCATCGCCCTTCATTATGATACATTGTTTATTGCTAGCGACACTTTATACATTTTTTATGATACTTTATATACAAAACTTTACAGAGATTCTTAAATCTGAACGACGCGCATTTTTACATCAAAATTATGATTTTATTGATTACAACTCAATCACGGAGCTTATATATAAAATAATATTCTTTGGTTCAAAATATAGACATCGATCGCTACAGAAGGAACAAAATTCTATGTACATATACGCACAACGATCATGAACGCGCTATATACACAAACGATTCTACTCATTTTTTATCCAATAATCATACATTTTGCTAAGTTACAATTGCTTAATTTTTTTTTGTTTGAAGTTTTATAAATGAATGCTTCGTTTATAAAACATTATTTCATCCAGGATGTTATAAGTCATCATAATTTCGAATTTCCGAGAGATGTTCGAAGATGTCTGAAAGACGCATGGTCGTTAAATCGCAACTCATATTTTTTTCTGGCGGTAAAAAGCGTCAAGCGCAAAAAGTAACGCTCGTTTTGAACGATATTTCGCGAATATCGCAGATATGTTTTGACAGGAGTGTCTTCGGTGTATTTTATTGCATCTGGTTGGTCGGTGATTCTTGCTTTAATTCGAGGGCCCACATGTGCTGCGGCCAACCCGTTCGTCCTTTGCTCTTCGTCGGTTCTTCGTGGCCGAGATTCGGGATAGATTGCAAACACGATTCATTCTATAACGAAATAAAAATACTCGATGACAAATGTCTTTATCAAAAATTAATCTTGTCTCTGCAGCTAATATAATGTCATGTCTAAAATCTGATGCTTTTTTCACTTTGTCTTTAATGTCAGACCTAAAACTAAAATAGAGATAGAATTTTAATAATTGTCTGACAAATTGTTCTAAGAAGCGAAGGACATCGATTATCGATCATGACTGAAAATTATAGTGATCTTTATTGAGGGAAGAAAAGTTCACGTGGGCGGTAAACGGTCGCACAAAATTAAGAAAACCACAAAATATAGGGTTGAGGAAAACAAATTGTTTCCGAAGTTTAGAATTAGTAAAGAGCGATCGGGAAATCGTTGGAAAATCAATGGACGTTCCTTTAGAATTTCCTTTGTTCCCTTTTACGCTTTCGACCAAATCACCCAAAGGCAATGACTTTCCGATGAAAATTCGGAAACCCATTATCGATAAAACCAGACAATTATTTCATTCTCTATGCAATTAAAATATTAAAATTAATATTAATTATATTAAATAATTATATAAAATTTAAA